CCTCTTTTAAATTAAATCCTCTTGACAACAGCCAAGATGGCATCAGAGAGGAAGCTACACCCAGGGCAGAAGAAACTCGCAAAGTGGCAGACGTTTCTCTTACAGTGATTGATTGTTTTTGTTGGTTTGTTCAAGGGTCACATGTTTGCTGTGGATCTTCCCAGAACGTTTCCTATGCACACGAATGTGTGGATGCATGTAAATGATTTGGGTTTGCTGGCAAAATTCTTTCACAAATGCCATAGCAGAATGTATGTGTATTTATACATATGTATTTCCGGAACTTGCTTTTTCACACTTAATAAATTTTGAGGATCATCCTATGATATACCTAATACAAATCTTTTATCTTCACAATGGCCCTGTGAGGCAGGGGCTTTTATTATCATCCATTTTACAGATGGGCGACACTACAGCACAGAGAGGTTAAATGATTTGCCCAAGATCACACAGCAAGTAAGTAGCCAAGCTGGGGTTTAGACCTGGGCTATCTGTCTTCAGAGCACAAATGCTTAACCACTCTTCTGGAATGCTTTGTTTTAACCAGGGCATCACAGTCCATGCCAGGGACAGGCCGCTGCATCTATGACCACGCCCCTTTTGATGGACATTTAGCTGTGTCCAGGTTTCCACTAGTACAAATGATGCAGCAGCGGGCTCCTTGTGCAGTGCTGATGGGGGCTCTGCGGGGCAGACCAGAGGCGGAGCGTGCACAGGTCCCGTGTCCACAGATACCGCCATATCTCACTTCCTATCCTCGGGTTCCCTCTCGCTGCCACCAAAGGCACGGCGGGAAGAAGGAACAGCCTGTGGAGAGGCGCAGGGATGTGCTGTGGAAACTTGAACAGAGGGGACTACTTCTGTTCTTGGGAGGGAGAAATTTAGCAACACTGCAGCCACAAGGAAAGGAGAGAATGTACCAAATCAATCGGGTGATCTAGCTAAGGGGCTTTCCGGGCAAGTCCAGGCATGGGGGCTTCTCTTCTCAAGGCCTCGTACACGTTACACATACAGAAGAATCGGGACATG